AGGGCTCTGACGGTAAGATCATAAGATAGATGATAGATAGATAGATTTTTTTTTTAATTTTTACACCAAAACCTTGCTTCCTTTATTTAAACTCCTGGAATTCCATGGTCTATTTGAAGTCTGTGGCTTGTTCTGCTTTCAATGAACAATGATCAACTAACACCCATCCACCAAGGGCAGTCTGTCCATCACCCAGTTCTGTCAACACTTTCTTCAAAACATACTATGAATTCAGTCATCCTGTTCCATTCTTAAATCCAGATTCTCATCACTTGTCTCTCTGTACCATTATACAAGGCCTCTTCCATTCTCTCATCTCTCCACATCCTGAACTATTCCACCAAATTTTTACCATTATCATCATCTCAGTCTTTTGCTTAAGGACTTTTGAAATGCACTTGTTTCTGGTCAAGTACAAACTCTTTTGCTGAACTTTCATTAACTTTAGTCTGTTGCTCAATAATTCCAGTCTATTGCTATTTAAATAACATTCCCCACATTGAGCCACATTGCCTGGCTCAAGACAGGACTAGGTAGGAAGCATGATGTTATTCTACAGTTCAGACTTCTACTCCAATGACTATTCACTATTGTTATTTTCTGGATATACCATGCTCTTCTTGACTTTTAGATTTGGTTCATGCTTTCTATTTGGAGAAGATATGTACCCCCTTTTTTTATACCTGGAATCCAGAAATGACACCTTTCCTGCATTGCCTTTCTATAACTTACTTGCCTTTAAGTCAGGTTTGGTTATTACATTTTCCAAGAAGCTGTTGCCAACATGGACTTTTTTCCAAATATCTTTGCCTTATAAAGCTCATGAGAGGGATCATGCTGTACCCTTCTTTGTGCATCCCATTACCTTTGGCAGAGAGTTGGAAACACAGAAACTAAATAAAGGTCAGTTAATGATCAGAGAAGGAGCAGGACACTCACAATCCACGAACAAAATAACTCGTCCCTAAATAACTACAGCCCATTTGCACTATAAAATCTACCTTGAGGGCTGGGGATGTGGCTCAAGCGGTAGTGTGCTCACCTGGCATGCGTGCGGCCCAGGTTCCATCCTCAGCACCACATACAAACAAAGATGTTGTGCCCGCCAAAAAACTAAAAAATAAAATATTAAAAATTCAAAAAAAAAAAAATCTACCTTGAGCCATGCATGTAATCCCAGTGGCTCAGGAGGTGAGGCAGGAGGATCGCAAGTTCAAAGCCAGCCTCAGCAGCTTAGCAAGGCCCTAAGCAACTTGGCAAGACCCTGACTCAAAAATAAAACACAAAAAGGGCTGGGGTTGTGGTTAAGCATCCCTGGGCTTGGGGTGGGGGAGCTACCCTGACGTCAAGTATGAGATGTAGGTGGGATATACAACTACTTATTCGTTTACATTTGCCTTAACACTACAAAATCAATTATCACAATTATGAAGAAGAGTTGAATGCTTAATTTGCATCAAGTAATTTGCTAAATATTTAACCTATATGGTATCATTTCATTCTTATAATAATCCTGTTACTATTATAAACATCTTATGGAAAACTGAATCCCAGCAAGTTTGAATCCAAGATCACACAAATAATGATGGAGATGGTCTAGAAATTATGAATCTCCAACTCCAAAGCCCTATGTCTTTAACTTCTATAATAAATCATCTCAGGAATACGTGCAAAACAACAACAACAAAAAGACCTAAAATAACTGAAAGGTCAGGTTCATAAGAAAAAAACATCTCAATATTTATAAGCAAAGATGTCTCTTTTTTCTTGAACTCTGTTTATTCATCAATAAATAAATTCAACAATAAGGAATTACCTCCAAAATTCACCTTAGCTTCCCATTTACTATTAAGCTCTTGGATGTTTTTCCCCTAAATGTGTGGTCTGAAAGCCACAAGCACTGGAATTCAAAAGGCACGCACAGCTTGCATGACCACAAGTGTCTGTGTGACACCCTACATGCTCCTTATTCAAGAATTTGAAGGGAGTGTCCCCAAATATCTGCAAAGCATCTTTTTGTACACTCACAACTTATGTGCATGGAAAAGTTCAGAGTTCTGGCCCTTACTAGTCTTTGAAATCTTGCATTTATGGCATGTATAAACACAGGAGGAGACATTTCTTTTTCTTTGTAAAGAAGTAATGAATCTCCTGAATTGGAATATACAAGACCTTTGAACATGCATTTTTAAACTTTTTTTTTGTTCTAATTAGTCATACATGATAGTAGAATGCACTTTGACACAGCATATATAAATGTAATATAACTTCTTATTCTTCTGGTTACACATGATGTAGAATCACACAGGTTGTGTAATCATATATGTATATAGAGTAATAATATCCAATTCATTCTACTGTTCTTCTTACCCCCATACCCCTCCTCTCTGCCTAATCCAGAGTACTTCTATTCTTCCATAGTCCCCACACCCTTATTGTGAATTAGTATCTGCATATCAGAGAAAACATTCAGCTCTCAGATAAACACTTCAGTCGGGCCAGAGTTGAGAAATACTGAGCCTCAGCTCCTGCCTTAGATTTTCTCTGTAGGTGCCCTTCCTAGAGATAAGGAGACATATTAATCATAAAATAAAAAGTTGATTTTTCCATGTTCATCATAAGCCTTCATACACATCTTTTTATGAGGCTCAAGGATAGTCATTACTTACAATAAATTATAACCCCTTTTTGAAACTACCTATTAAAAAATGTGAATTTTAAAAGTGAGCATTCTTAGATAAAGAAATATGAAATATATACATAAGGAAGTTTTATTCAGTCATAAAGAAAAATGAAATTGCATCATTTGCAGGAAAATGAATGGAACTCGTAGACATTACGTTAAGCGAAATAAGCCAAACTCAGAAGGTCAGGGGTCGTTTTCCCTCTTATGTGGAAGCTAGAGAAGAAAAAGGAAAAGAAAAGTAGAGGGGGCAGATCTCATGAAAATCAAAGGGCGATCAGTAAACTAGAGGAAAAGGACAGCAGGGAGGGGGAAGGGAGGGAAAACACTAGAGATTGATGTTGGCCAGATTTTATTGTTACATTATGTGCATGCACAAATATGCAAGAACAAATTATACCATTATGTACAACTATATTGCACAAATTAAAAATAAGAGTAATGGCAAAAAAAATGGGCATTCCTGAGATGTTTAAAAGAAAACACAGAGATTGGAACAAAGCAATTTGAATTCATTGATGAAAATCATGAGAGCTTCCCATCAGGGACCAAAAGAGTTCAAAGACTATGGAAAATAAATTACATTTTGTACTTCAGGAAGATTTCATTCATGCAGCCCAAATATCAAGATTCACTTTATATGGCTCTCTTCTGATTAGTGCATTTATTTTCTGGTCCAAAATGATGATGTAATAACATCAATTGGGATTTAAGCAAGTCTTATATTCTGAAATTTTATTTAAAAGACTATTCATTATGACAGAGCTTCTTCTTTTCATACAGGACATGAGCAGAAGAAAGAAACCATGCAGTTCCTTCCTTTGTGGGTTGTGAATTTGGATGCATCTATCTTGAGAGCTACTCACTTACACACTGACTTTCCCTGAAATCTTGGATTTATGAAATGCGTTTAAAACTGAAAGGATTTTTCTTTTTTCAATTAGAGAAGGAACAGGGAATAATGAAGAATTTGGACATGTGAGTCTAAGGACCTGAATTTAGAATTCTATTACTTTTGAACAGAGTGGTCTCTAGGTCCCAGTCTCCGTTTCTATAAATAATGTTCATACCTTCATCACACGGTTCTTTTAGGAACTGGAAATAATAAAAGTGAATCCAAATACAAAAGAGAAGTGCAACTAATGGCAGCTGTCACTTCTGTATTAGGTTGGATTAATTCACCTACTGGGCGGGTTTCTCTCCACCACTGTTTAATATAGAGTTACCCCAGAGTGGGGACATCCTACAACAGCAAGTCACGGGAAGAATTCTGGAAAAATAGATCACAAAGAGTCAAGGCATTCCCCTCCCCATTCTGCAATTTGCCCTCCATTGCACACCACATGGTCTGGAAACTCCAGGGTAGATGTGTCACTTACATAATCACCTGGTATAGTAACCCCAAGAATGCATTGACTGTGTCACATCAGAATTCACAGAGCCTAGCTCCTTACTTCACATTATTTTGGAAAGATCCTGTCCCTTTTCAATCATTAATTTTTAAAGCATCACACTCACATAGTATTGCAGGGAGAGAAAGAGAGAATCAGTCCTCAAAAGACCCCTAGTTTAAACGGTAATGCTGTTTGAACATGTGTTTTAGCAGGTGGTGTTAAGATAAGAACAATGGCCAATGCCAGTGGAGGAGAGCCAAGCCTTCCTTTCCTCGCCGCTGTGACCTCCCACCACATGAGGTCCCTCGTTCAAAGGTGGTGCAATTCAATATGTGTGTTAAGAGGTCACTGAGGGGAGCCATGACGAAGGGCTCTAAGTATGGCAACCTCACCTCAGACCTTACTATTTCCAGAGGCCCCGCCTCACCTGCCCCATTCATCACTCCTGCTGAGGTCTGTTTGTTTAGCCGGAAGTGTGGGAGCACCAGCAAGAAACCAGTGAGAAACCACTTCAAACTCAGGCTTCAACAAATGTTGCTGGAACCGGGACAGTGATATTTTTACATTACCTAACCAACTGCCAGCTCTTAATCAACATTTCCTCGTGCAGTTTTAACAATGACACACTCTGCTATCCTTAGGAATGGTTTTTATCTCCATGAATCTTACCCTAAAAGAAAGCTAAAAAGGGGAAAGAAAAAAAAAAGAAGAAGAAATGAACTAAGACAACCACATCAATATGGGGAAAGACGTTGCCCCAGCCATTTCTGGAAGCCACAGCCTAACTGCATGATGGAATACCATATACCTTCTCATCATTAAGTCATGCACACATGCAAATTTAAGCATCCTTGTGGAATTAGAGAAGGTGATGGAAAGGAGGGAATGAGGAAGGCACACACCCCGCCCCCAGCAGAGCATACCTGGGGCATCATTGAGGCTGAAGGCGATGCGTACTGGCTTATCCGCAGGTACCCTGGCTGTGCTGATCATGTGGGCACCTGAGGCCCGGCCTTCTCCTGGGTCTTCCAGCTGTGAGGACAAAAGAGAGCCCTTGTCACTTTACCCAATATCACGCCTCTGAACGCCCTTGGAAATTAGAGGGGAAAGTTGGTAAACGTCCTTTTCCTATTTCAAAAGTATCCACTTGCTCCATTAAATTTTTTTCTGGCTTATACAGAAATTACTTTAACAATATACATCTAAAACAAATGAAATGTGGCAAAAATCTCTACCTACATCACTTTTTAAGTATTCCTTCACACTGAAAAGTTCTATTATAGCTGGGCATGGTGACACAAGCCTGCAAACCCAGCTCAGGAGGCTAAGACAGGAGGATCATGAGTTCAAAGCCAGCCTCAGCAAAAAGGGAGGCACTCAGCAACTCAGTGAGACCCTGTTTCTAAATAAATAAATATTTCTGTGCTATAAGAGAATTTAGCCTAAATACACTTTAAACAAAATATTTGATAATTTGGTGTTCAGAGAGACTAAGGAAAGATATTGTTATAAATACACGATATCTTTGTTATTTAGATATTTATATTTAACTTTTCTATTTTTGGTCCTGCTTCCCCTAAACCTTCTACTCTCCTTCTCATGTAGACAGCAAACTAAAAAACCTGAATGATATTTTAAGGAAAATGTCTCTAAAAGTGGCAAAATATAAATATCTCTTTAGCCATCCTAGCAAGATTCTGGGAATTGCTGTAGCCAGACATTTTCTCAAAGCAAGGTTTTTGACTCTTTCCCATAACTTTTCTGTATCTAAAAATAGATTTCGGAACACTGAATTTTGTTTTTACAATTACATATAGGTCCAAAGTAAGTGCATATATGCATGTGTAGTTAGACATCCATGTGTTTGGAATCATCTCATCCAGTATATGCAAAGAGAATGCACTTATATTAAACATCTAGTACAGCTTTGGAGAAAAAAAGAAAAAACAGCATCTATCTATCACCCAGTTAGCATCACATTGGGCCCATTCATTTAACACAGATAGCAATACACAAATAAGCACCCTACCCTCCATGTATTATACTTCTAAGCTACAAAGAAACAGTGGCCTGACGCATTGAAGAAAAGGGCAACATAAAGCTACATTTTCTTGCTCAAGATTCCTTCTGTCTTAACTCTGACACATGTCTCTGTGGTTTCTTCTGCTTAGAGTCAAGTACTTTGCTAGCCACCTGTTCCTGGAGAAACAGCACAGCTATCTCAAGTTTAAAGAAATCATCAAAATCCCCAAAAGTTGTAGTCAAAAGAAAAAGTCTTGCTATTGCACATTGTATAATCCCCAGCCGCCTTATCATAATATCAAAGGACAGAAAGCCGCACTCCTTTTTGGGTAAATCTCCCAACAATGTCGTGCAGCAAGAAATAAAGCACAAGAGATGGATATTTACCTCCAGAATTTTGTAAAGAGATCTCTAGTACAGTTTCCAGCTACAGGAAATGGAATTGATAACACAGCTGATTACAACCCCCTCCCCAGCACAACAGAAAACATCTGTCTGCCTGAGATGGATTCTGAGTTCCACACAGCATCTACCACAAGACCCCCTAAACCAACTTGCCTTTCCATCCCACCGCCTCGGGGAACAGGACACTGTGTCCTACTTTCGGCTGTAGACTGTGACCAAGCTTTGGTTAAGGTGCTGGTGCTCTGAGCAGTTTGTTCGCTTTTCACACCTGTCGCCTTACCTCACTTAGTTGAGTGTCTGCACTTGTGTAATCCAGGACCAGCCACTGCCTTGGCCAGTCGCTGCCTTTGTGGAGTGAAGACTCAGTGAGCAACCCAGTTGCACCTGCTGCATAGCAGCCGCTGACACTCTGAGGAGCAGGGACAGCTGTCAGGGCTGCACGCTGCTACCTGCTCTGTCCCAGACCCCAGCGTCCCACGGGACCTCCCTGTTCCGCTTTCCTCCACAACCCCTCTCTCCTTTCCTTGCCTCTCCAACAGCCAGGATGTTGTCATGTTTCTAGAAAAAGCAAGAGCAAAAGAAAACCCTCCTCCTGTCAGAGGCATTGATAAACAGCAAGTTGTGGAGAGTCCAAATGTTTTAATTCATTAGTCCTGGCAAACCTAAAATACAAACAGACTTGCTTCACAAGACAGGAATGTCTTCAGCGTGACCCAATCGGTGTCTGTGTCTATTCCAGCAAACTGGCAAAGATAGCATGACTCTAGTCAGCAAAAATGTCCGCTGCTCCAATCAGCTCCGCCAGACCAGCCAATTTGGACAGGCCACAGGCCAGCTCTCAGATGATAGCAGCGATGATCCTGGTTAAGAACGTGAGGTTTGAGGTTGAGCCCATGTTGGGCTTGATGACTTGATCCATTGTACAAATGCAACCAACCGCAAAAGGGTCAATGGTAAATAGGAATGGAGCATGAGGATTTTTCAACCTTTTTAACAATTGTAAACTTGGAAACCAAGAGTATTTAAAAATAGTTGGACCATAATGTTAAATAATTTAAAACAAACAATATTAAGAGAATGCAAAGACAAGCCAGAGGCTGAAAAAAATTCTTTGCAAAACACGCACATGTTTTTGATGTCCAAAATAGACAAACAAATCTTCAATTCATCAATAGGAAAATAAACAACCCAATCAAAAAAGTGGACAAAAGATCTGAACAGACAGCTCACCAAAAAAGACATACAGATCACAAGCAAACCTATGAAAAGATGAACAACTTCATATACCATTGGGAAATCACAAATTAAAACAGCACTGGCAACACTACTACGACACCAGCCAAAATCCCAAACAGTGACACCATGAAAAGTTGGTGAGGATGTGAAAAAATAAGAACTTACATTCTCTGATAGTGAGAATGCAAATGGTACAGCCACTTTCAGAAAACAATTTGACAGTTTCTTACAAAACTAAACAAACTCTTACCACACGATCCAGCAATGACATTCCTCAGTATTTACCCAAATGAACTGAAAACTTATGTCCACACAAAAACCCACACACAAATGTTTAGAGAAGGTTTATTCACAATCCTCAAATCTGGGAAACAACCAAGATGTCCTTCAACAGGAAAGTATACATACACACTGGAGCATTCGGACAATGGAATATTACTCAGGGATAAAAAGAAATGAGCTATAAAGTCTACAGATTGTACGACTCCAACTATATGACCTTCCAGAAAAGATGAAACTATGGAAATAATAAAAAGATTAGTGGTTGTCAGAGGTTCAGGAAGAGAGAAGGGAGGGATAAATTGTGAAATACCGAAGATTTTTAAGGCAGTTAAACTACAATTGCATATGATCCACTGCCATGGTAGATACATGTCATTACAGATTTGTCAAAACCCATGGAACCTACAGCACAAAGAACAAACCCTGGTATAAACTGTGGTACTTATGTAATAATAATATATTAACATTGGGCCATAAGTTGTAACAAATGCATCACATTAATGTGAAATGCTAGTTAGTAATAGGGAAATTAGGAGTGAGGAGGATGAGGAAATATATAAGAACTCTGTACTTTTCACTCATTTTTCTTTTTTTGGTAACCTAAAACTACTCAAAAAAAATTAAGTAACACATAAAAGGGCTTAGCAAATGTGTTAGCTTTTCACTGCTGTGACCAAAATACCCGACACAAACATATGAGGAGGAAATTTGTATTTGGGCTCACAGTTTCTAAGGTTTTAATCCTTGGTCAACCAGCTCCATTGCTTTGGGGAGAACATTATGGCAGAAGAACATGGTGGAAGAAAGCTGCTCAGTTCATGGGAGCCAAGAAGCCAAGAAAGAGCTGGGGACAAGATCAGCCCTTCCAGTGCATACCCCAGTGCACATCACTTCCAACTATGCCCTACCACCTAATGATATATTCAAAATTACTAATCCACAGTATGGATTAATCCACTGATGAGTCTAGAGCTCTCGTGATCCCATTATCTCCCTAAAAACCCACTTCTGAACATTGCTGCATTGGAGGCCAAACCTTCAACACATGAACCATCGAAGGACGTTCCAGATCCAAACCAAAATCTCTTTTCTTTGATCAAATGAATGGAAAATTAATTTGTTATGATATAAATAGCTATAAAGTTGTATGGATTCAGACAATTAGAACATTCACACAAAAAACTATTCTTCCAGGAATAATTAGTACTGCTTGAAGGTTATTTTATGGTTAGGAATATCACCTTACATAAAGGATTGTAATTTATCAAATGAATTGTTTGTCCACTATGCTATTTTCATCTTCCAGACAATCCTATGGAATAATCGTGGTCAGTATTGTCACAGATCCTTGACAGATGAGGAAACTGAGACTCAGAAAAGTTCAATAACAAGCTCAAGGACAAATAATCATTGTAATAAAGGACTCAGCTGCCAGTTTTCTAATTTTTAGTTCATGCTCTTTCCACCACACCAGGATGCACTCGATTAAACATTCAACTGACTTTTTAGTTAAGAATAAATCTGACTCCCAGCTTTTGGCTGGAGGAGATGAAGGTATAACTTTCTTCTATGGTCCAGCATTCAGGTTCAGCCAACATCAGTCATCTTTTCACCTAAGTGCAACCCAAGGAAATCAAAGCTGCACATCTTGTGTGTGCCAAGTAGATATGGAAGTGAATATCATATCCGAGTAAGCTCCCGAATCAGTCCCCTGGGTCTGCCTTCAGAAAAGCAGATGATGGCATTGACATTGCCAAGGCAGTCTGTGGCTTCCAATGAAACTGACAGTTCAGAATGGAAAGAGCCAGAATGAGCTAGCACCTCTCTCTTCTGCCCTGATCATCAAAGCTCTTGCCAAATCATCCAGAGATAGAAAGGGACATTTGTACATGAAACACAATGAAAATATCTCCTTCTATGACATTGTCAACAACACCTGACAGAGGCAGCTGCTCTTTATCCCAGAGAAGAGTCCAGAATCATTAAAATTATCCTGGGGATTTCTCAGTGTGTGGGCTACAACATTGATGGCTGTATCCTCATCACATTAAAGATGACCTCAAGATAGGTATGGTAGATGTTACAAA